TAAAATATTATCCAATTAAATTTATGATATGAATTAACCAATAAAATAAGAACTAAATATTCATATCATAACAATATTCTTTAATAATATCAAATAAAATTTAATTGTAATTTATATTATTTTGATTTTAATTATGTTATCTTAACAAGAAACTATTATTTATATTTTATTTATTATTTATAATTTATTATTTATTATTTATATTATTATTTTTAAGATTTGAAAATGTCAGAAAGACATTATATTATTTTAATTTTTGTATTGCTGATCTAAAAGAGATAGTATTTATATTTAATTTATTTTTATATTTGTATTTATATTTTTATATAGCTATTATTAACTGATATTTCAGGAAAGCTTTGATAACTTTTATATTTATATTCATATATATCATTATTATTGATATTTCAGAAAAGTTTTGGTGATTAATTATTTTAAATTTTATTAGTTTTTTGTTAAAGTTATATTCAATTCCATTATTTTATTATTTGATATATAAATTATAAGTTTTAATAGTTTAGTAATTTGATCTTTCACATGAATACAAATACTAAAAATAATAATAATATACATTCCTATATAATATTACCAAAAATTAACATTATTTCTTTATATTAAAGTTTGTTATTTTATTAATAAATATTTTTTATTTTTATATTAAAATAAAGATAATAATTTATATTTTTAATATATATTCTTTTAGAATTTTTTGTTCACTTGTAAATGTGAAAAAATTTTTTTTTAATTAAAATTGAAAAAATTTCAACTTTAATTATAAAAAAATTTTTCTCATATTTACAAGTAAACAAAAAATTCTAGAAAATTCTAAAAGAATATATATTAAAAATATAGATTATTATCTTTATTTTAATATAAAAATAAAAAATATTTATTAATAAAATAACAAATTTTAATATAAAGAAATAATATTAATTTTACTATTTTTTTCAATTTCTGATAATATAATATAGAGATATATATAAAAATAATATATATTATAGTTATTAGAATTAAATTAGAACAAGTTCTTAATAGTAATAGTTTTAATTATACATATTTCTGTATTTTCATATTTGATAATTCTATTATTAATATAGTATCTTATTAATATGAACATCCAATTAATTATTAATTAATAATTAGTAATTTGTTTGATCAATTATTATGAAAAAAGATAGAATTAATTTTATTATATATATAGTTTTAATAATTATCTTATAATTAGATCTCTTTTACTTTTGATTATTTAAAAAAGTTTAGTTTGTATATATTATAAAGTAGATAGTTAAAATGTAATTTCTCTTTATATCTTTTTGACAAAATATATTCTTGTTTTTTATATAATTACTTTAGTATATTTGCTATAAGTATATTTGCTATAAGTATTATATAGTTTTTGAAGAAAATATTAGTTACTCAAGCATATTTATCATGAATTTAGTAATTTAATTTTTAGGCTCTCTGAATATAAAGCTTATTAAAATTATTATTATTAATCTTATAATTTTTTTATCTTAACTGTGAAGTTATATTTGAATAAAAAATATTATTATAATTCATAAATTTGTCTTTGAGTTATATTTATTATAATACAAATATTATAATTTTTATATTTTTGACTTTGAAATTTTGAGAATACTTTCTAACTATCCAAATTATTGTATTAAAGAACACAAATTATTATCAATCTTTAAGTTAGTATTTTTAGTATCTAATATATATTTAGTCTAATAATTATAAAACATTGTTAATACTTTGAATTATTATTAAGATATATAATTTTCTTTAATATTATAAATATCTTTGAGTATTTCAAAAGTCAATCAAAATAATATTAAATTTAATTCAAATTTTAAATCTTTTTTAAACTCAAGTCAAGATCCAGTTCAAGTTTGTTTTGAATTCAAATTATATTCAAATTCAGATAAAAGTTCAGTTCAATTCATAGAAATACTATATCAAAAATATTATATTATCTTATATTAATATATATTACTCTAATTATTATAGTATTTTACAAATTTATAAATTTAGTTTAACTTATTTCATATCCTATATATATGTATATAATAATTTTATTAATTTGATTAATTAATAAAATCATGTGAGTTTATAAATGTCAAAAATAATGAAAAATCTATAAACAATGCTTAGAAATAGTATAGAATCACATGATTTTCAAAAATTCATGCTTATATAATTATAAAAAATTGATGTTAAAGATTATTTTATTATTTGAATTAAGATTAGAATTTCACATTTTTTATTTTCTTGTGTTAAAGACCACGTGATTAAGCACTGTTCGCAAAAATAAATGACAAAAATAACTTCATTTATTTCTAATTCCATTCAATACAAACTAGTCGGGGACATCTTTAACGTTAACGTTAACATTACAGTAGGCCAAAAAAAGTTAACTGATTTAACTCTTGCTTATCATATTTCCGGATTAACGATTCAACTTCCGACCACCGATCCAAGCGTCGTCAATATTGCCCCCTGTGGAAGTCGCACTAGCGTAAATACTTATCTTGATTTTTCGAAAAGCCTTATAATAAGCAAGACATAAAAATGACTTGCAAATATTCCTTTTTTTTGACAATTTTTGAAACTTTACTTGAATCTAATGGCGATAAAACGTAAACTTCGTAGTTCAACAACTACAACAGATTCTCAAGCACAAGCACAAGCGCAACAACAACAACCACAACCACCACCACCACAACAGCCATCATCACCACTGCCACCACCACCATCACCACCACCAACCACAGTCAACAATCCCTCTCCTGCACCAGAAGAGCCGGATTTGCAAACAACAAAATTCACTGAACAATTACAAGAAGAAACATCATCTTCAAAAACAAAGAATCGTGGTCGACCTCGAAAACCTAATGTAACTACTTCGACTAATGACTTCAATGAAGATGTTGTCGCGGCTTCCTCACCTTCAACTACAACAGAGACAACTGTTCAACCACCCGCAAAAAAAGCGAGAAAAAGCAAATCTATCAAAAGCAAGACGAAAGCTGTAAAAGAGAAAACAAAGTAAGACACACTTAATCTTCTAATATGATTATGAAAAATTGAATTAAGTTTTTTCTTTTTCTAGAGTATCTGCGAATGAGTGGGCTGATGATACATATCCAATCAATATAAAAGAACAACTGAGAACGAGCAATAGTGGTGGTAAAGGTGGTGGTAAAGTTGCTGCTGCTCTTGCTATTAAAATAGGTAGTAATAAAAAAGGTGGTGCCAGCAGTAGTAGTGGTGGTAGCAGTAGCAGTAGCAGCAGCAGTAGTATTAATGGTAGTATTAAAAATAATAATAATATTGGAAGTGGTCAGTTTTATGAATTCCGAATTAATCAATTTGTTCCTCAACCTACAACAAATACCACCACTACCACCATTACTACACGAACTTATTCCGTGGAAGGTAAGTGTATATATATTTTAATTATGATTTCTTTATATTATCATTAATTGGGTAACCTTTTATTAGCACAAGCAACGGCACAAGTCAATTCACGAAATGCTATTATAATTCCTTCTGATATTCCTGAAAAACAACAAACATCATCAACATCGCAATCACCTAAAATTATTAAACCACGTAAATGGAATCGTAAGAAAGTTGTTATTAGAACGACTGGCGGAGAAATTGCGATGCCTGTTTGGTATTCAAGTAAGCACATTTATGTTGGTATATTGATTTTATTTATCCTTCGATTTTCTAAACAAATAATTATTTTATATAGCTGAACAAAGACAAATTCTAAGAAATATTTCGTTTTCTGGTTAGATTATGACTCCTGTCGATTTCTGCCTTTCAATAATAAATATTCTCTTTATTGATCAAGGCAAGATTTAACTTATTATTTTCCTGATATGCTGACACGCTCTCTTTGTCTTATTATTTCTTTTTATGTTAGCAGTAGTTTTTTTTATAAAATTTTGATATAATAAATACCCATTCAGTTGATTGAATTTCTGGATAAATACAATACCTATTCATTGGAATTTTTGATTCTAAATTACTTTACATATATTAATAATTATGATAGTGCCTATATTATAAAATTTTCATTTATCAAATAAAATAAAATAAAATAATTATTTGACTCTTTCTAAATTGTTAATGATCATATAACGAGAGAACTTTACGTATAATCGCCGAAACCAAACAAGTTGTGTTTTATGACATTTCATAGCATCAAGAGTTTGTTTATATTGTTCTGGTGAAGAAACAAATAATAAACAATCTGGCACTTTGGTTAATGGTGGTGAAACGGATAATAAGGATTTTCTTTTCCATGCTGTTGACACCGGTCTTGGTTTTTTAGTATTCTTGTTAGGTTGAGAATAATGAAAACCATTGCCATTGGATATTTTTTGAATTTGTGCTAGTGTTTGTTGGTTTTTTGAACATTTCTTTGCAATGTAAAATTTGTAATAAGCGTATGGCAAATCTAGTAGAGAAATATACTTTCGAAATCTATTCACCGTTTTGAGTTTATAAAAATGTACGTCCGTCGTCTGATTACCATAAGAAGCTATTAATTGACTAAATAATTTATATCTATATTAGTAAATGATTGATTGATTGATTGATTGATTGATTGATTGATTAAATAACTTACTTTGCTCCATGAAAAGCGGCAATATGATTCAAATGCCCTGAAACACCCCGCTCGTCGAAACTTATGATCTTAGAAATAATAAATAAATATTGAATATTGTCATGTAAATAAGAATTTTCTGCACTTCTAATGATAAATTCTGATTACCGTGTCAATTCCATTTTTTTCGACGTATTCTTTAAGAATGTCAGTTATTACCGCGGTATTCCATAACTCTTTCGGATTATCCTGTAAAGCACTTGAGAAGGGAAAGTAGGGTATTTATTATAGGGAAAAGTAGGGTATTTATTATGGAAAAAAATAGGCGCAGAAATTCGATTTTCTTTTAAGGCAACTTACGGGTGTTCTTCAACATTCACAAGTGATTCATCTATACCGAACACCCGACAACTTTGTTCTATTTCTATTTTCCTTTCTTCCCCTAAGCCTTGCTCGTTTCCTATATTATTGAATTAATACATGATCAACTAAAAGAGGAAGGATATAAAAATAAACTCACCAGACGATAAACATAAAATCATGATATCATTTCTTTCACTCAAAGACAATAGGGTAGGTCCAAAAAACATACATTCGTCGTCTGGGTGCGCAATTACCAATAAGATGCTCCTATCCCGTAGGATTCCTTCATCACGTTGCGCAACATTCTCTAGTCGTGCCTTTTTGGCAGTCGAGTAGAGAGAATAACGGTAAAAAAAGTATGAGAAGAGAAAGAGTAAGGTCGTCGTGGTGAGTAGGGAGAGTAACAACGCGACCATGTTTAGTGAGCTGTGCCGTTTTTTATTTTGTACAAAAAAAAAGTAGCGAGTATTTAGGATTGAATAAATAAGAGGAGCAACCTTCCTTACATGCCGTTTAAAAGAACGCGACAGAAAAGAAAAAGCGGATTTAACAAGTTAAAATTTTCGGCCTCACCCATATTAACTTGATCAAATATCATGTGAATTTCATCATCATTTATATGACAAAAAGGGTAAAAGCAGCGAAATGGGAATGCGGAGTAGTCACGTGTAAATAGACCAATCCAATTGCATAAAAATTGAACATATAATGTCGATCAATTTAAAAATCAATGTAATTGCATTTTTGAATTTTTCGTCTAAAGTCT